CTTGGCTTAAGTGATTCTCTTGCCTCAGCCTCCCAAGTAGCTGGGACTACAGGCGCCCGCCACAATGCCTGGGTAATGTTTGGTTGTAGTTGTTTGACAAGCCTAGGCTGGATTTGAACCCACCAGCTCCAGTGTATGTGGCTGGCGCCCAACCCGCTGAGCTGCAGGCACTGTGCCTGGTTTCCTGCTTTGATTTTATGTGTGTGTATTTCTATTTTTAATTATGGTCAAATATATACGACATAAAATTTACCATGTTGGCCAGGCACAGTGACTCATGCCTGTAATCCTAGCACTCTGAGAGGTCAAGGCAGGAAGATTGGTTGAAGTCAGGAGTTTTAGATCAGCCTGAGCAAGAGTGAGACCCTGTCTCTACTAAAAATAGAAAAATTATCTGGGTGTGGTGGTATGTACCTGCAATCTCAGTTACTCTGAGAGTAAGGCAGGAGTTTGCCTGAACCCAGGAGTTTGAGGTGGCTGTGACCTATGGTGCACTCTAGCCCCAGGACAGAGTAAGATCTCTCCTTAAAAAAAAAAAAATACCATCCTAACTATTTTTAAGGGCACAGTTCAGTGGCATGAAGTACATTCACACTGTTATGCAACCACCTCCAGGACTCCTTTCATCTCTTTTTTTTTTTTTTTTTTGATACAGAGTCTCACTATGTCACCCTCTATAGAGTGCTGTAGCGTCACAGCTCCCAGCAACCTCAAACTCTTGGGCTTAAGCAATTCTCTTGCCTCAGCCTCCTGAGCAGCCTACAGGCACCTGCCACAACATTTGGCCATTTTTTGGTTGTAGTTACCGTTGTTTGGTAGGCCTGGGCTGGATTCAAACCCACCAGCTCTCCCGTATGTGGCTGGCGCCCCAGCCACTGAGCCACAGGCACCGAGCCAAGAGACAGGTCTTACTCTTGCTCAGGCTGGGGTTGAACCTGTAAACTCAGGCAATCTAACTCCCAACTGCTAGAATTACAGGTGTAAGCCACCATGCCCGGCTCCCATCTTGCAAAATTAAAACTCTGTCCGAATTAAATACTAACAGCCCCCTCCTCCAGCCCCTGTACCCACCATTCCATTTTCTGTCTTTATGAATCAGACCACTTTCAGGACTTTCTACGAGTGGAATTATAGAGCACTTGTTTTTCTGTGACTGGGATATTTAACACAGTATAATGCCAGTGCTCACCATGTTGTAGCAAGTGTCAGAATTTCCTTTTTCTTTCTTTTTTTTTAATTGAGACAGAGTTTTACTTTGTCCCCCTGGGTAGAATGCCATGGTATCACAGCTCACAGCAACCCCAAACTCTTGGGCTCAAGCCTGCCTCAGCCACAATTTCCTTATTCCTGAAAGCTGAATAATCTCCCCTTGGATGGATGGGGGTGGATGGACTACAGTGTATTCATGTATTCCCTCATCCAGGGACACTTGGGCTGTTTCTACCTTTTGGCTTCTGTGAAACATATTGTTGCGATGAACATGGATGTGCAAATATATTTCTAGTCTCTGCTTTCAATTCTTTTGGGTATATAACCAGAAGTGGAATTACTGATAATGGTAATTCTATTTTTTTTTTTTTTTTTTTTTTAGAGACAGAGTGTTACTTTATGGCCCTCGGTAGAGTGCCGTGGCGTCACACAGCTCACAGCAACCTTCAATCCTGGGCTTAGGAGATTCTCTTGTCTCAGCCTCCCGAGTAGCTGGGACTACAGGTGCCTGCCACAATTCCCAGTTATTTTCATTGTTGTTGTTGTTGCATTTTGGCTGGGGCTGGGGCTGGGTTTAGAACCCGCCACCCTTGGTATATGGGGCCAGCACCCCACTCACTGAGCCACAGGTGCCACCTGGTAATTCTGTTTTTAATGTTTTGACAAACTGCTATACCTTCTGTAGCACCTGTACCACTTTACCTTGCCATCAGCAGGACACAAGGCTCCAATTTCTCTACATCCTGATCCACACTTGTGATTTCTGGGTTTGTTTGTTCCTTTTGGAGATCAGCCATCCTCATGGCTATGAGGTGGTTCTCTCTTTGATATTTTGCAGAAGAGGGGGGTGACCCTTTCTTATGAGAGACTTTATATCTGCCAGGCTCTGGTTGCACAATCTGGCCAGGCTTCTCTCTCTTGACACCTCCTGAAACTGATAAGAGAGGCTATCTTTAGCCCCTGCAGCTTAGAAATGTTAAGAATCTGGCATGGTGGCTTGGAGTCCGAGGTTCAGTGAATAGGGCACCAGCTGCCCAACCTGGGCCTGCTAAACAACAATGACAATTCCAACCGAAAGATAGCCAGGCGTTGTGGCAGGCACCTGTAGTCCCAGCTACTTGGGAGGCTGAGGCAAGAGAATTGCTTAAGCCCAACAGTTTGAGGTTGCTGTGAG